ACTAATAGTACTCGTACTAATAATAATACTAATACTAATACTGATACTAATACTGATACTGATACTGATACTTCTACTACTACTACTACTACTACTAAAACTACTAATAATAATACTAATACTACTACTATCACTATTACTAACTAATACTAATACCAATAACAGGACGTACTAACGATCTTAATGTTGATAACAACGCCAGTCATAACATACTAGTATTACTAATAAAACCAATGCTACTAATGATGATAGTTAAACTAATAATAAGCATAAGAATACTAATGCTACTAGTAATAATAGTAATAATATTGATGATAATCTTACGCACGACTTCATACTACTACTACTACTACTACTAATACTGATAATATTAATACTGATAGTACTAACAGTAGTAATACTTTTTATTAATAACAATACGGATACTGATACTAATAATACGACTGATACTGCTAATAAAACAAATTTTCATATTGGTATTATTGATACTAATAATACTACTAATAATAGGAACACTACTAATGATATTATGGTACGGATAATAATACTAATGCTATGATACTAAAATGATTGTGGATAATTTTCATAATAATAAAAATTGATACTAATGATGATGATGATGATGATGATGATGATGATGATGATGATGATGATGATGATGATGATGATGATGATGATGATGATGATGATGATGATAAGAGTAAAACTAATAATACTATTACTAAGAAGAGGAGGAAGAGGAGGAGGAGGAGAAGGAGGAGGAGGAGGAGGAGAAGGAGGAGGAGGAGGAGGAGGAGGAGGAAGAGGAGGAGGATGAGGAGGAGGAGGAGGAGGAGGAGGAGGAGGCGGAAGAGGAGGAGGAGGGGGAGGAGGAGGAGGAGGAGGAGGAGGGAGGGAGGAGGAGGAGGAGGAGGAGGAGGAGGAGGCGGAGGAGGAGGAGGCTCGCAGTTCTCGCTCCAAGATGCTTGCCAGCAGCTGCGGCTAGCAGCAAAGTCTCTTCGGAAACGAGTGGCTTGCGTGATGGGGAGCGCCTGGGACCGCCTGCGGAGCGCCTTGGGGGCGCTTGGGAGCGCTTGGGCGCTTCCAGAGCGTCGCTGGGTAGCGTTAAGTCGGGCATTTCCCTCTATTGGAGGAATGTTCAAACATAGTAATAAAATAGTCGATACGACTTTTCTAACATTTTTTTTGCCACTATTTTGGGGGTATTTTTTGACTATTTTTATTTTTCGCCCCAAATCCGCCTGTAGGAGGACAGGCCCGGCCTAAGGGTAGCGCCTGGGAGCTTTGGAGGCGCGGATCCTGATGGGATCGCGTCCTCGGAGACGCCGATCGCAGGACTTTTTGCTTCGAACCCCTTATGCAGGCGCAGTTTTGGATCAGGCGCTGCTCACCCGCTGGAAACGGTAACAGTTGAATTTACGCTTGTGGGAGCCTCTTCCTGTGCCACGCACAGGGGGGGGAGGCGTAGCCCGCCTTTCGTACCCGTCGGAGGAGTGCGAGCTAACTCTTGCCCGCCGACCTAGTGCAGCTGGCGCTTCCCTGCACGCTGCAGCCATCAGTCGCTCGCCTTTTGGCGATTGTCTGGACCGGCGCTCGCTCCGGAGAAAAGGAGAGAGAGAGAGAGAGAGAGAGAGAGAGAATAAGAGAAGTGAATGTAGGGGGAGGTTTTTATACCTACGCAACCTACGTGGATCCCCCTCCATCCAGATGCTCTCCCCGCGCAAAATCCCAGGATCCCCCCGTAGATGACCTCCCGCTGTCCTCGAAGCCCTCCAGGCTGGCCTCCCGCGGTCCTTCTGGCCCTCGGGGCTGGCTTGCTGTCCTTTTCCGCAGCGCACAACAGCAAAGTGGACAAGATACGTTTTCAGGAGGCACCGGATATGGCCAAGGAGCCAGCACATCGGCCCAAGACATCCCGAATTTTGCCCAACAGAGTTCCAAGAGGACATCCGACGCTCCAGAAAGACAAACGCTACGACACACATGCTTATACAGTTTCAACGTACTTGTTTTTTTCGATGTGAGGAATGCTTGAGACGACCCCAGACCATGGAGGAACCAAAGATCTCTCGAGACATGCCAAAGAGGCCTCGACATGGTCCCACGACGCTTCAATCGTGACGTCGACGTAGTTGAAGACGACCACAAGAGCGCCAACAGGGGCCGAGGGAAACGGCCCAAAGAGCTTGCCGCAAGACGGCCCCAAGATACCCTCAGGACGGCTTCCAGGGGCCTCAGACGGTCCAAGGGCGCCCTTATAAGGCCCCAAATAGCCCAAAGACGGCCGAAGAGAGCTCCAAGAGGACCCTAAAAAGGCACAATAGGGACCCAGAAAGGTTTCAAAACATGCTAAGACAACCCTCTGCTCTTGCCCCCCTGTGACCACCAGGTCAACCCGACAGCACCTCGGGATCGGAATTCAACCAGAGCCGAGTGATTTTACAAGAGCGCTGCGTGCCCACAGGGGCAGGTGGCAACGGCGACTCGCCGTAGGCGTCCATGGCCATGTCGGCATACCCCTTGCGCGGATCTTACCCCATTGGGATCTCCATCTACAGTCTCAGTGTGTCGGCACACCCCTCGCGCGGATCCTGCCCCATAGGGAGCTCCACCTACGGCCTCAGTGGACCAGCTCGCATAACACTCTTGCCCATTTCGGTACTCCTCATGCGGCTCGTGCCGAAGAGGGAGCCCCACCTACGGCCTCAATGGGCCAGTTCGCATAATAAGTCCATGCTCCAATTTTACTACACTCCTCGAGCGAGTGTTGCCCCATATGGAGTTCGACCTGCGGCCTCAGTGGACCAGTTCGCATAGCGTTCCCATGCCCATTTCGGCACACCCCTCACCCGGATTGTGCTACATGGGGCCTCCACCTACGGCCCCAGCGGCCCAGTTCGCACAGCGTCCCCTTGCCAATTCCGGCACACCCTTCACACGGTCCTCGTGCCCCATACAGAGCCCCGCCTATGTGCGGCTTCGGTGGGGTTTCTGGTTTTGCAGTGCTTGCGGGAGTTTTGCAGCAGAACAGTTAGCACAGCTCGGCAAGGAATGCAGCACACGCCTCGATGTTCATCGAATCGATTATTCATATCGTAAGCGCATTCTCCAAGGGCTGTGGCCGGCCAGAAGAGCCAGGAAGCAGTAGGTTTAATCTGCTTCCCCATCGCAACCGACACAGTCGCTATACCCGTAACTCCGTAACGTCATACAGCTCCACCTTTGTACGGCCTTTCTGGGAAAAATCCGCATGGCGTCCCTCCACTCATTTTGGCACACCTTTCATGCAGATTCCGCCCCCTAGTGAGCTCTGCCTACTGCGCCAGTGGCGCTGTTCGCATGCAGCCCCTTGCTCTTTTTGGCACGCCTCTCGCACGTGTCGTGCCTCGCTGAGAGCTCCACCTACGGCCTCACATTCGTACCGTGCTCATGTCGGTGCGCCCCCCCCGGCGGATCGTGCCCCACAGGGAGCTCCGTATACGGTTTCGGCCAGGGTGTTCTCCTAGTGCTCTCACCACTGGGAGCTCCAACTTTTGCCCTCCTACGGTGCGCAGTTTATGAGGAGATGGCCACCTCCTGTGCTTCACGCAGCTTTATAGGGCTATGCCTTTCGATCAGACACTCGTGTTCCCGCGTGCGGCGCCTCTGTCTCGTGCAACCTGTGGATCACGATGACTGCTGCCCTAACTCCAACGGCTGCGGTTGTCAACCTCCAAAGTCTGCAGCCATATATGAAAGCGAAATGCATCGCGTATACCGGATTTTTGTTTATATACATGTCCGATGCCCATATATATATATATATATATAAATCTTAGCCAACAAGGACCCCAAACAATCATTTCTTGCAATAGTTGTGTTGCAGCCTTGGTGGAAGCTACGTAACGCAATGCAAACCAATGCAAAGCAATGCAACATCCTGCGAAGCAAAGCAATGCAACGGAATGCCACGCAAAGCAATGCAAAACAACACGAAGCAAGGCAAAACACCGCAATGCAACAACATGCAACGCGATGCAAAATACAGCAATGCAAAGCAATGCGAATCAAGACAACGCACTGCAAAGCGATGCCAAGCAAGCCACATCAGGGCAAATTATTGCAAATCAGTGCAAAGCAACGCAAAGAAATCCATGTAGTGCAATCTCACAGAGGTGATGAGCGGCGACGGTGGCGACGGGGCGGCGACGGTGGCAACATAGCCGCCAGACCGACGTACAGGCGTGGACGATTGCCAGCGACGCGGCGGCAACGGTGCGGCGACGGCGGCAACATCGCCGCTGGACCGACGCACAGGCCCAGTTCCTTCGAACAGAAATAAGAGCCCCTAAGTACAAGCACCGCTTGGGGAACATATGCGCGCTTTCACGTGTACCCCCAAGGCCCTGTATGTCGAGAAGGGCATGTACGCGAGAACGTTGGGAATGTGGCCGACAGATGAGACAATCGCGCGTAACATTAGTCATGAATGTCATTGTGAATGCGTTAAGTAAACTTGGACACACCATGTCTGGACACCAATTTGTCAGTGGCTATGTACAGCGCCTGGTTTGAGGTAGTCTACGTAGGGACACACAGCGACTTGGGCCCAGTAGGTCCACCGCAATTGGAACCAAATGATTGTAATCAGTCAAAGAGAAGTGTTGTAGCACACGAGAAGCTGGTGACTTATCGTGTGCATGTGTAGGACATCTGAATTTTGTTGTGTTCTGGACATCTGAAGCAACCATGCCGATTTTTTTTTTTTTTTTTTTTTTTTTTTTTTTTTGCGGGGTTGTCAGAAACGTCGCGATCTGGGTGATGGGTGCGTTTGGATTTGAGCTTTCTGAGCACCTTCCAGGCCAACAGTGCAATCCAATCCGAAGACAGACGCCATGTATCGTCTCTGAGCTCCACTCCCCTGGAGAGGCGCGTTAGATATTGTACAGATAGAGATATCAGGCGCCGCTTGCCAGATGAAGAAACTTTCGCTTATCTTTCATCTGTAAATGGGGCGTCAG